AAAGTCTCCTCTGCAGGTGCTTTCATGGGTAGTCGTGGAACTCGTTGTACGCTCACAAATGGAGGTGACAGCAGATGGATCTCTTACGCGTGATCTGCTTGGTTGTCGTCACTCACCCGAGGGCTGCCGCAGCTACATACAGATGGATACACAGGGAGAGATGCACACACACAGCTCTGTCAGCTACAAACGTGTGCACCTGCATCAGCAGTACCTGTGAATTTGTGTGCCTATGATGCGTGGTCGTACGTGCGAGCCGTTGTACGCTATACTGCTGTGCATGTAGTCACACAGCAGTCTACTGCTGTTTGTTGGCCATGGTTTGGCTAGTCCACCGCACGTGTAGTCGTATGCTAGGTCACAATACCCCCCCCTCGAGCCAGCGCCAGGTTTGCACGGGTGGTATGCTTGGTCCATCGCACGCGTTGTCTGCTGGGTCACCATACGAGTGCCGGGGGGGGGTAAANAGCTACATACAGATGGATACACAGGGAGAGATGCACACACACAGCTCTGTCAGCTACAAACGTGTGCACCTGCATCAGCAGTACCTGTGAATTTGTGTGCCTATGATGCGTGGTCGTACGTGCGAGTCGTTGTACGCTATACTGCTGTGCATGTAGTCACACAGCAGTCTACTGCTGTTTGTTGGCCATGGTTTGGCTAGTCCACCGCACGTGTAGTCGTATGCTAGGTCACAATACCCCCCCCTCGAGCCAGCGCGTGGTTTGCTGGGTTCACCACACGGGTGGTATGCTTGGTCCACCGCACGCGTTGTCTGCTGGGTCACCATACGAGTGCCGGGGGGGGGTAAACCCCCCCTCGGACCCCCCCCCTCGAGCCGGCGCGTCGTCTGCTAAGTCTATCTAATATTATATGTACTGTATTTTTAACATGAAGCGTCCCTATCGGGCCACTTCTCTTAAAAAAACTATTAAAAAACAAGGCTCTTTTTTTAGCACCAACCGTCCGTTGGTGGTGGTGATAAAGTGTCCGTGCGTCCACCTATCTACCTCTGCAACCAACCCGGTTTTACCAATGGAACAGGGATGGGCGGACGTACCTAGCTCCGCATTGCCAGCCGTGGTGGTTGCCAGTACCCGTCCTCCTGGCGCTTGTACGCATGTCGGAGCAGATTGATTGGTCTACATACGTACCGTTCGAGTACCGGCAGAGTGTACACTGACTGGTCGCCCCGGTGATCTAGTGGTATCATCGTAATCCGCTTGTCGCAGAGGTCGTAAGTTCAAATCCCCATGGGATGAAAATTTTACGAAATTTGCGGGTGAAAGCGAAAAATAGCTTAAAAAAAGCTCTCGTGAGTACCAAACTTCGACGTTAGCACCGTTGACGAGGGAAAGGAACAGCTGGACTCTTCTCGCGATAAAAACAGAATTCAGCACGCACTTCATGATCTTTCAGTAACTCCAAAACACATGAAAATAATCCAAAACACAACTAACTCAAATCTGCAACAATAGCCTTCTGGGGTAGAAATGTATTTCCATCCCCGATTATTCCAGCTGTAGTTTGTCGATAATCGTAGCGATCCAATTGCCGCCCATCCTAGAGCACGATTGATTTAGAAGACCATTCTCGGACCCGAGGACAAGCAGAGATTCCAGGCCATCACCGGGAGTCTTCTGTACGTTGCCCAATGCACCCGCTACCATCTGGNCGGAACATCCAGCACCAACCACTTGGCATTGCTACAAGTATATCTATCACAGCGGTGGTACGAACATGGCACACTAGCCATATCGCAAGGACCCTACGCGAGAGATATCCTACAGCGATACGGAATGGAACAGGCAAACCCGGTCAGCACCCCCGGGTATGGAGCAGAGCTACCAACCGAGCAGCCACAAGACCAACTACTCGGACCCGAGGACAAGCAGAGATTCCAGGCCATCACCGGGAGTCTTCTGTGCGTTGCCCAATGCACCCGGTACCATCTGTCATACGCAGTGCACCAACCGACACGGGCATGCGCAAACCCAGCACAGGTCCACATGGCTGCGGCCAAGCACCTACTACGGTACTTACGCGGAACGCCGGACCTGCCGATCGTGTACAAGAAGGGGCAGTTCAGACTCTCGTGCTTCACTGACTCGTCATTTGGAGCCAACCCAGACATCGGCAGGTCTACCACCGGATACCTGTTCTGCGTAGGAGGTGGACTGATCGGCTACGGAGCCAAGGCCCAGACTCTCGCAGCACAGAACACCGTGGAGGTCGAACTTCAAGCGCTGAGCTTCAGTGCTTGCGAGGCAGTCTACATCTCCAACTTCATGACGGAAATCGGATTCAAGACCTTTCGATCGGTACCCATCAACAGCGACAGCACCGGAGCATTGACTGTGGCCAGCAACGCGATGTTCAGCTCTAGAACCAAGCACATCCGGTTCTTCTTCTTCTTCCTCAGGGAACTCACGAAGGGGCACCGGATCACTCTTCACCACCAACCTAGTGCCACGATGTTGGCGGACATCGCGACGAAACATCTCCCGAAGCAGCGATTCGCCACCATCATGCAATTCATCAAGGACTACAAGTGCTAGAAGATATTTAGCACAAGATTGCACAGTGTGGTTGAATGTTTCGAATGCGGGTATTGCTCACAGGATGGATTCACTCATGTGGAGGTCGATATTCTTTGATATGGATTGGGAAT